TTCTCTTGGAGACAAGCAGTAATCATCTAGCTGCTGTATTTTGTTCTTTCGGATGAGTATAATAGGTTTTTAGTTCTGCTCGATATTTATATAATAATAATATTAATCACTTTTATTTATTTATTATTTTATTTACAAATATTTCTAGTACTTAATACTGTAGGACATACTTGATTATGAGGATGTTCCGATAATCTAGCACTTACGTGAGCGTTGTGCTAAATACAAATAATGCGTTAGGGCACATTGTTCGACAAAGGGTAATCCCTACTAGTCTGAAATAATGTGATTGGATTTATTATTACCTACTTTTAAAAAGTGTGGTAAATTACTTGTGCCCGGAATTGGAAAGAGACTAGTTAAGTTACCTATGTATAGACAATACTAGGCAAGGATAGTACGAGAATATTAATTTTTTTAATGTAGGTTTGTTACCAATGTCGAAACTGTCGCAAAAATTGTAGCTTAGTGATAAATAAGTATACAGGATCGCTATAGTGCCAAAAAAATACCTGCCTTTAAAAAACTCCAAAAGTAAGAACCGTGGAGATATATTTCTATTACGAAAATTCACCAAATATAAGTGTGATAATGATAACCAAAACATTCCGTAAATATTGGGAGAGGAGTATAACATTTTAAAACTCCCAAAAAATTCTAAATTTGGATTTCAACCGTGATCCTAAACAAAACTGGACCCTACGTTGTGTTTTTATGGCGAAATGCGTTACTTTTCATTTGAACGCAATTAAAATACCAAATATGGAGGACAAATTGTTTATTCCTCCATTCTGGAGAGGAAAAAGCTGTTGAAATAAGTTAATAGTAAAACCATATTAAACAGTACATTCAGCACGAGCAAAAATGGTACTTTTTTCTTTAAATAAAAATTCAAGAGATTAGCACTTTTTGTACAATTGTACGCAGATATATCTTTCTTACGTTTACTTATAATTCTGATTATTTCTTCTCAAACGTAAAAGCAACAAATCTTAGTTAGCTTTTTTCTGAAGTTTTGCTTCTACATCTAGGATCGATTGCACCTGATATTTGTTGGTAATGCGGATGACTTCTTGCATTTTTTTGATAATCTTCAGCATGACGTCACGTTGAGGTCCAGCTGGATCTATTTTAAGACCATATTAAACAGAATATTCAACATGAGCAGGAATGGTACTTATTTCCTCAAAGAATGAAACTAATTCAAGAAGAAAGGAAAGTACCTTCCCATCCGCTTAGTACACGGCATTTTTTGTTCAAGTATGCGTACACGTTTCTTACGTATGCTCATGTAATAAACATAAATCTGAATAGTCGCAGAAAAAAGAATTTTAACAAGCCACACTTACGTTTTTCCATTTTTGCAAGGAAAATTTTCTGGTCCGACATCTGTTTTTTCAACAGTTCACGTTTTCTCCTTATTAGATTATTTTTGATCTTTAACAGTTCTTTATTCTTCTTTATAGCACTGAGTACTTGCGCCTTGGAATTAGCACCCTGATTTTTGAAAGGTGTTGTTGCGTGATTACCATCATTAGTACCAATGAAATAGGAGTGTTGGTGAAAACTGACGGCGGGATATTGACACGACTGCTGGGTGTCCATAATGGAGACGGGATTCAGCACGCATTGTATGTTGGGTTCGCTGGAAAAAGTTTCCTGTCCAAACAGTTCCTGTTTCTTCATGATAAGGTTATTTTCAATAATCAACATTTCTTTTCTAAGTTTGTTTTGATTCTTAGTAAGTTCCTCTTAAACTTATAATATTAAAACTGACCTAAACTGTAATAAAATATACTTAGTAAAACACTCAACATTTAATTGCTTCGCTCACAGGCAACACTACAACACTTTACAATGCAAAGACCAAATGAAAATTTTAGAAAAATATCTTCAAATTTATAGCAATATTTTCTTATCCTTTGTTTTTTTTTGCCGAAGAACAACCGTGTTGGTTTTCGGCACGAGGTGCTGGAGAAGTGCAATAAATTGCTTACCATCCTAAAACCCCATCTTCTGCTCAGGTATCAGAACTTTGTCCTCTTCACCTGCGACTGCAATTCGATTGAGCTAACGTATGTCTCAAAAATGTTGGCACAAAATTCTTCAATAATTTTTTTTGTGTGAATAAGTTTTATTTAAATTGCTAACATACTCGTACCCCAAAAATATTGCTACTATAAATAACAAAACTAACAACTTATATCAAATGAAGTGGTCCATGGTCCTCCACTAGACGCAACTTCCGTCGTACACCTCGCATTAAGTTTTGGACGGTATTAATATCGAATTGTCTGAACTTTCTAAAGATTCTTCTTCGCAACTGCTCTTCATTTTCAGCTACCCAACCTCCATCGTACACATTTCGAGATAAAAGGGCCCAAAAGTCTTCAATCGGGAGAGCCTGGAGAAGATTAGGGGGATTGTGATTTTTAGGGACAAAAGCTATGTTGTGGTCGTTATCAACAAATTTTGCCTTTGTTTTATATTTTACGTTGTCTGGACATTCATCTATGTTATCTGTATAAAAGCCATCGTTGCATTTCATCTTTGAGTTTGAGAGCGTAAACTACTAATTCATTATTGGTGACAATAATTATTTTGTTGTTCGCGAAATCTATCCGTCTCAATTCCCGGCAACATCTTGGGATCCATGCCAGCTGATAGGGTGTATATTTGGAACATTTCTTTCTTTTTCGAAATTTTTATCCATTTCTCTTTAATTCTCTCCAAATGGTGTCGTTTGAAGTGCCGTATTGACGTCCCAGTTTCCTAGTTAATCACCCAACTGTATTTTTGGCTCTTGCTACCAGTCTACCGGCTCTGGCTTTAATTTTACGGTCCTGCTCTGGTGGTTGGTGCATGGATCTGAAACAGAAAAATGTGCACCACATGCCCTGACACTGGTATACTTACCTGCTTTTTGGGGGCGGTGTGGTCGGGGGAGAGAAGGCCGGGGGTGGCTGGTCGATGGAAGCAGCGGGTGGAGTCACACGCCGATCTTGTCGTCAAGCGTCTTCTTGAGGCTTCCTCGTCGAACTGGTAGTCGGCAGCTTCTCGAACCAAGGGGTTAGGGTGTTCTTCAGCTTTCTTAAAGGTGCGAAGTCCAATTTCGTGCAGAAATAATTGCTTTAACTTCGGGATGTTGGTCTCCCGAAGAATCTGGTTGTTTTTGACGAACTTGAAAGTTTGTCGGAGAATTTTTGTCTGGAGGACTTCCAGACGATGAAACTGGATTTTGGAAGGCTTATAGCTCCAGGCTACTGAGGCATAAGAAATGGTGGGGCGAATGAATGTTCGATAGAGAAGAAGTTTGTTCTTGGTCGACATCTTGCTGCCTCTGCCGATTAGGGCACCAGGAGACCTTTGATTTTATTGGTCTAGGCTACAATGTAATCAACGTGAGGAATGAAACTGAGCTTTTTGTCAATGAAAACACCGAGATATTTTGTTTTGTCCTGCTAGGGAATGTCCTGGCCGAACATGGAGACGTACCCTATCGGGTCTTAACGACTTTTCATATTGAAGAGTGCAGAGCTTTTATTGGCTTTGGCTAGATCGAGAAAGACTGCGCCCTTGAATTGTTTTCATTCAGTTGACTTTGTTGTGAATTCTACGACCCAAAGAAGTTGGTCGGAGGTGGAATGGTGGGGTCGGAAGCTAAATTGCTTGTCGGGAAGGATGCCCGTTTCCGAATAACCCTTTCAGCGCTCTTCCCTACCGAAGGAAGAAGATTTTGGGGGAAAGGGCAGTCCAAGACGTCAACTATATGGGTTATCCATTCGAAATTGCAATATATGTTGAGGAAAAACACAGGGGTCAATTTAAAATCATTTGTGAAAGTGCATGCATTCATGAAGACAATTTGCAAAAATGACGTAGCCAAGAAGGATGGAAATCGGCAGCTGTGGCAACAGGTTACGTTGAAGAGAGTATTAGCAATAAGAATGTTTCAAACGTTATTGGGGGTGGCATTAATGAAACTGTAACCTCATTCACTTCCGAGAGTACTAGCAGTATTAATTTGAAGAGCATTTCCTCTGATTTAAGAAACCGGAGTATTAATATTTCAGATAATACCAACTGTACTTTTCACATTCATTTAACAAATTAAGATTGTTAAAAAATATTTGAATAAAGCTTTTGAAACATTTACTAGTAATATTTTATTTGATGTACGTACACCTGTCAGATTAATTAAAAAGTTGACATTTAAACTTCACGTTTCTCGGGTTGTTCGTGTTGCATAGTAACTTTAAACACGGGCGTTTTTGACCCATTTCGCACGTGTAGCAAACAAGATTTTTTCAACAATCGCAGCAAAATTTAAAAATAAACACTTGTGTCCGATTTCATGTAATAATACTGTATAAAAATTAGTTTGGCCATCAGGTGTATTGCCTGATTCACCAAAATACCAATTTTCTGATTTATCAAAATGAATTCCTAGACATTCATCATTATTTGGAAAGAAGCCTTGAACAAAAATCGAGTGATTTGTTTAAAGGATATGTAAAAGCATTTATGAAAATAAAGTTAGAGACAAGTGAATGGAGCAATGATTTTGAATCAGAAGAAGAATATAGAAAAGCCGTAAAAGAAAATCTAGGTATTGAATTGGGTAAAATAGAAAATAATCCTGGAAAGAGAACTGTTGCAAAAATCTGCTTAAATTCCTTATGGGGTAAATTTGGCCAAAGACAAAATATGGAGGCAACAGAGTATGTTACAGATATTAAGAGATTTTATGAGATTTTATTAGACGACAGACTTGATAATATACATATCAATGAATTAAACGAAAATATGTTACAAATTGATTACAAGTATAAAGGTTGCTATCTAGAAAATGATTTGAATACTAATATATTCATAGCTGCTTTTACAACTGCAAATGCTAGACTAAGATTGTACGAAATGTTAGACATAATACATATATAATACGTCAATGCTTTTTTTGTTTATTTTAACCTCATATTCTGCGTGCTGTGCCAAAGTGTGGCTAAAGTACTTATAAAAACACAGATAAACACCAAGTTTTAGATAAAATGAATCTGAAAAACTCCATTACAGAATTTCGTCGATTTCAACGCAGTCGAAGAGAGAAGATGTTGATAAGAAGCAATATGCTAACCTTTGCTAGTGTCCGTTACCAGCGTGGGGGGAATCCCCTCATACACGATGTAACAATAAAAATTAGACAAGGTCAATTCCCAGATTTAGGGGTGATAACTTTCAGGTCTGAGGGTTTTTATTTCTTTGTGGAAGAATTTACCAGCTACAATGACCATGGGAGTCATCCAACCGATGTAAGAATGATTTTCAACAGCGAGGAGGACATTGTGTTAAGATTCGGAAATGTCACCCAGCAGAGAAAATTTGCAAACGCCCTAAGAACCTTTTTAAGATTGAGGTAAGAAAACACCTATATCCATTTTATTCTTATTGTTATGTTTGTAGCAATCTCTCCAGCCCGGAGCCAGGAACCCCGCTACCAACTTTAGAATAGTTTAATAGGAGTAGTAAAGTAGTAATATGTTAAAACTATTTTAAAATATTAATAAATTCCATTGCTCAATCGTATTTATTTTTGTACTCAAGTGGCCCAACAAAAAACAAACCAAAAGGTGAATTTTAACTTTTAACAAAGGTACCTTGAAAAAGGGAAAGATTTGATAAAAAAACGATGTGTGTTGAAGGAGCCTAACAGGAAAAACTCTTTAATACAAGGCAAAATCCCTAATTTTGAGTGTTTTTGAAATAGAAATTTGTTTGGACGAAACCTTATTCATTTTTGTGCTGAAGTGGCTCAACAAAAAAACAGTAAAAAGGCGAATTTTAACTTTTAATTAAGAAGACTGTTAAAATACCAAGGGAAAAAGACGAATTTTAAGTGTTTTTAAATGGTAACTTTTCTTGGCAGAAACCGTATTCACCTTTGATAAAACAGGATATATTTCTTAAAATTTTGACTTTTTTAAAAAAGGGTGATTTTGAAAAACCGGGCAAATTCTTTAAAAACTTTAACTTTTCAAAAGTTACCTTGAAAACCGGGCTAAAAGCATTAAAAGCGTATTGTGTTCTGAGGGGGCTTTACTAACTACTATTGTCAGGTATATTCATAACAAATCTAGATTTGTATCTAATTAATGTATACAAACCGCCATCTGCTAATTTTAACATGTTTGTTGACGTCCTAGTCAAATTGTTTTTTACTGTCAATACATATACGGACAATGTCTATGTAGTAGGAGACTTTAACATTGATATATTAACAGTGAGGATCACTTCATGCATAGATTCTTAGACTTCATGCAAAGTTATGGTCTGCATCATATAGTAAATTTCCCAACTAGAAAAAATGTATTTACTAATATAGACACTGTAAGGATCCAATTCGAATTTTTAAATTTCAAATGAATTCCGCGCGCACAAGAAACAGTTAGTGAGAAGAAGGAGAGGTTGGCAACCAACCACCCCAAGGAAACAGGCGTGCGCAAAGCGGGTGGTTTTGTCTCGGGTAAAACCGGCCACTTCCTTTTGATCGCTTGGAGAGAACAGACCACTTCTTTTCGAGCGCTTCGAGCAACAGGTTGTATTTTTAATTGTGAATTATTCTGTGCCTTTTGCTGTTGTTTTTGCGTTTCCAGTTCCATTGGAAAATCTAGCAGGCCCCGTTGAGCCATTGGGTGTTCCTGACTTCTCATCGTTCTTACGACGAGGTTTTTGCGTTCCTTTTGGCGGTAAGCCGTGTCGAAATCTTCGCATCTTTGGAGAGGTATGTTTTGAACACCTGTTTTGGACTGGGCCCTGTTTTCGCGGCGAGTTTCAAGCCCCGACGATGCTTCTGACCTCGTGTCACAACGACGCGTGCGCTTTTTTCCACTAATCTCGTTTTTTTTTTCTTTCATTTAAAATCCATCGCAGTAGGGCTTTACAGGAAGTGATTTCTAGTTCGGGCCATGCTTTATTTAGCTATATTTGTGAAATCTGTATTTTGGATGGCGGCAAACGAGTTGTTATTTTCACCGTTCTTTGTTCAGGCAGCGGCCATTTTGAAGCGTCCATTTGTTTCTTTTAATCGAGCACATGTTTTAACTGAATCTATTGAACAAAATAACAACATTGTGGGTCATGGGGGGACGTGCCTTTATTCTTTGGATTTAGCACATCGTTTATACAACGCCACAGGATTCATCGTATTTTTGCATCGCATATTTTCGACGCCTATTATTTGGAATGACGAATTCGTCCAACGCCATTTTGCAACTGCAGCTTGTCTGCCATGTTTGTTTATGTGTTTGTTTGGGGATATGTATGTGTAATAATGGCCCACAATGTAGCTGAATAATTTCACGTTTGAATTTTAACCAATAACTTGACTGGACACGAATTAATATTAATCACATGTAAATCTGTTAACTTTACAATCTTTCACCTCATGCAATTTGTCTTTGTCTCACAATTTTAGCTTCAGTAATTTTCTTTGCTGTATAATTTGAATTGAACGTAAATTTCCATGCTCTGCAGTTCTGACTTAACATGATATTTTATTTGCACAAGCTTATTTCACACCAGATCTTTATTTTATAAATCTTTGCTAAGTTTTGCTCATGTAAATATTTTGTTGATGAATATTTCTATCATGTAAATTATCTGATGTCCAAATTTAATCTCAATTAAGAATTATTTGTTGTTGAATTTTCGTAAGAGTGTGTGGCGAATTTAAATGTTGTGTATTGCTCTTTGTTGAAACTTTAACACTTGTTCGGTTGTCATTTAATATTAGAGTCATAGAGATTGAACATTTAAATAGAAATTGAAGGTAAATAACACATAACTCGTAGTGTACGTGGGGCGCGCGACTCCTTCTCAAACTGACGGGATTAATCGCGTCACCTATACAAAACCGCGGGTTTTGTATAGCTTCAGGGGGCGATCGTGGGTTTTTAACGCTGCCGGTTTCGTGATAGCCGGGACCCCACTACGGATCTGCGATCGTAACCGCCTCGTTTCGCAGGGCACGTTCGTAATGGAGAGATGCGTGTGAGCAGGCGTTGGTGTAGATAGAATCACCGTCGTGGGAGAGAACAGTGACGATCAGGAGTCCCAACCTCTACTTGCGCTACAACGCCCCCTCTGGGTATTTTGCTGTGCTCGTAAATGAAATTGATATATTTTGTTTTATATTTTGTTCGATCGCCACACTCTCGTAATGATTCGGGTTCTGCCATCCAATTTACATATGTGTAGGTCTTGTGTTTGTTCGGTTTTCATATGTGTATGTCTGTCAATTCGCGAGCGTTTTTCTTTCACATATCTTAAGGTGTCTGACATGTAATATGTCGGTGAATAAAACCCCAGGGGGTTTTGGGGAATGAAGACCGATGACACCTTGGCCCTGCGGACTCGCCAGAAGGGCAAATCGAGCGTCTGTCGTTCTTCGTTTCTTTTTCCTCCTTAGGAAGGCTCCTAATTTTGTCTATTATTTCTTGCGCTCTCGACAGTGTATGCACTTGTATGAAAGAACTTCTTCCCGCCATTTTTCAAAAACAAAAAAAAACACACAACGTAGGTTCTCATTTGTTAGACGATCACAGCCAAGGCCAAACTTTGAATTTTTGAATTTTTCGCGGGCCTTTCAAACTGTTCAAGGTCCAATTTAGAGGCGGGAAGTTTGGGTTATCACAACACTTGTTGTTATATTGTTGCGCCTATTGATACTTGTTTATCAGATCATTTATGAGTTAGGCTTAACCTCCAGTTGCCATACGACAATAAACGTCAAACCACTTCTTACAAAATAATAAGACCCATAACACCTACGGGGCAGTTTAATCTTTTTCAGTTGTTTGTCAATGGTAGATTGGGGATTTATTGCGTCCAATGTTTTGGATGCTAATACTAAATTTAATAGATTTGTAGATGTAATACAACAAAATGTAAATACTGCTTTCCTTATAAAAACTGTACCTATATTTAGTGGGCGGAAAAAAGTAAACTGGTTTGACAAAGAGCTTTATAGACTACGCTGTACACTACATCTGTTGAATGAGATTCATAATATATGCATATGGTACTGAAGAAAATAAACGTGCTGGAATATCAGTCACGTGGTGTACCGAACTGATTACCAATCAGTTGACATCCAGACCAACTTATCACAAATCTTAAATATGAGGATCTGAAGAAGACAGATTAATTGAAGAAACTTCATCTGAAGGAGAGGAAGACATAAGTGTAAGACATGAACTTCTTTTGTTGATTTGTGTTAAACGCCGCATTTTTTTTTTTTTCTAGTTTTGTTCCGAAACATCTGAAGATGCTTTGCTTCAAGATGACGAGAAAGATTATTATTATTATTAATATTATTATTATTAAGGACTCGATCGGGCAGAGGCTATGCCTGTTATGCCCGCGACAAATTGAGTAGTGGCTTTATCTTCAGTATAACTTAGAGATTTTTTGTCGCACAATATGTATCATATTTCGATTTAAAACATACAACAGATGAAGCTAGCACTATATCCTTGGGTAACGCGTTCCAACTGTCAAACACCCTATTCGTTAAAAATTTTTGGCGAGCTAAAGTGCAAAACTTCAATTTACGCAACTTTAGAGAATGCCCTCTGGTGCGGTCTGAGGTATTAAGAGGGAAGAGATGCCTCATTGGGGAAAAACTATTACTCAAGGCCTGATAAGTAATTATTAGATCATCTCGTTTGCGCCTGTCTGAAAGAGGGCAGAGATGCATTAGTCTAAGCCGTTCGCAGTAAGGAGGCCGATTTATGCCGAACGGAAATCTGGTTGCTCGACTCTGAATGGATTCCAAGCACAAAATGTCTTTTTGAAATATGGGAGACCAGACACCATTAGCAAACTCTAGCAAAGGCCCCACATATGTTTTGAAAAGTTTAGAAAAGACTAATGGACTAGCTTTGGAAAATGTTTTAGTCAGAAGAAAGAGCATTTTATTTGCTTTACTCGCAACTCGCTGGAGATACTCAGTTCATGACAAATTGGAGGTGACAACGACACCCAAATCAACGTGCGAATCTGTACATGAAAGAAGTAAGTTGTCAACGAAATAAACATGTTTGGAGTTATTATTCCCAAGGTGTAGGACTTTACACTTGTCTAAATTCAAAGGTAACAACCAATCATGAGTCCAGTCATATATTGCTCGAAGATCTCGTTCTTAATCCCTATAGTTCGCACTACTGCTGTAAAGCTTGATGTCATCTGCGAACATGGCGAAAGGCGAGGTTACGATGTTTTTGACATCGGCAGTATAAGCGCAAAGAGTAGCGGGCCAAGCACCAAGCCCTGGGGCACCCCACTCACAACATCGACAGATCTACTAAGTCCATCACTGATTTTGACTCGAAATGTTCTATCGCTCAGAAAAGAATCTATCCACTCAAGATGTTTTACTCGTATACCAAGATGTTGCAATTTGTGAAGAAGCCTGCGTTTCGGAACCTTGTCAAAAGCTTTTGAAAAATCGAGATATAAAATATCTACGGGGCGACCCAGATCGATATCCCTAGTCCAGTCTGACAAACAGCACAAAAGATTCGATT